AGGAAAATCAAGAGTTCTGCTTTGACCATGTTATTGTTATGATGCCTGCAGCGTCCATGTGGAGATGTCAGGTTGGCATTTAGACATATAAGTCTGAAAAGGTAAAAATTCAAGAATCATTGGAATCCCAGATTCCATTCAAGGATTCATTTCTTAAATGTATTACATATTTATACGTTTTAGACTCTTTGCTGCATCTTAGGAAAATGCAGGTGAAAGACATAGTTTCTGCCTTCAAGATACTCTCACCACCATGAGAAAAAGAGACAGGTAAACCAAAAAGGATACCGTACTATTTGGTAAGTACTAGGATGGTGGTGTTTATAGGGTGCTGACCTGTATGGCCTTCAACCACGCGCTAAGCTCCTCTGGTCCTCAGTTCTGCCACTCACAAATAGAGATAAAATCACCTGTTTTTCCAGCAGTACAATAGGCACATCTCAAAGGAAATAATGTCCATGGAAGTAAGTGGAAAACAAAAAGTCCAAATTATTATCCCACAACAAAAAAAAAAAAAAAAAAAAGAGGAAAAAGCTGCCATGAAGAGCTTATTCACAAACTTACCAGCAAAACACAGGGCTAAATTCTGGCTGATAGGACTTAAATGAGTCTGTCTATCTAATCACTGCAGCAGGAAATGTAATTCTTCACAAAGCCAGTGTTGTTATGAGGGAATTTACATGAGACCTAAGATAGGATGGAAAAGTTCCTCTGCTGTTCCTGCAGCTGAGTGATAGGTCCTTAAAAACACTCACAAAGGACTTGGGGCTGTTTATTCCAGACCAGCTTACTTTTGACCCTGAGCAAAAGTTTATCCTTCAAGCTTTCTACCAATGACATCACTCTGTCCGATTGTGAGAACCGTGAGCCACAGAGTGGATATGTCCTGGGTTAGAACTTTGACACCGTCCCCTAATAACTGTAGTGTGTGACCAAGTCCCTTAGCCTCAGAATTGTAACATGGTTGTGAAAATCATCTCCTAGGTAACTGTGAAGATTTAGCAAGACAATGAAAGCACGTAGCATGGTGCGTGGTGCCTGAGTGTCCTAACAGTGGAGAGAAAAATGGCATATGAGTTTATTCAATCTTCACTCACTCAAGGAGGCCACAGATGGATTTTGCTCATCCAGATACTGCCAAGCAGAATGGAGGCTCTATGTATGTTTGTGGAATAAACAAATGGCATGCAGAATAACTACATGAAATACTTGCAGGACACAATAAGAGACCTCTGGCCAAAAATGCCTTCCCCTGTACAAGAGACCCTTTCCTACTGAGCCCAGTTGGTGCCCAGAAGTTGGAAAAGATCAATCTTATGATTCATAATTTCAATAACACCTTTGTTTGAGAAGACTGACATTGGCGCTCAGTGGGAGAAAAAAGAACAGTTCCCATCACTATATAATTACTTCCGTTTTCTTCCTCTCCTCTAACTAAAGGCAAGGCTTACTTTGACAAAGGAGATGGTAAAACCTGCTTCTGCTCTGGCAGGTTAAAAAAAAAAATGTCATTTTAAGGTACCTCTGAACATGATCAGCTCAGACAGCAGGGAAATTATTCATTGAAATAAATTCTCTTCACCTTGTAAAAATTGAATTACACAAAAAGTAAAGGTCTGCTTGAGCTAACATTTCTCAAATTGTATTCATTGAGACATTGGATCCATAGGATGTTAGTAGATATTAGTGGGAAGAGAACGCCCCATGGTACCTAGGTTTGGGAAAGACATAAAACTACTGTAAAAGTTGAAGAGCTCTTTCTACTGTCAAGTTGTTTCATCTTTAGAATGCAACTGTGCATTGTCAACCTCCAACAGAGAATGAATCGTTCCCCAAATTGACTGGCTCTCTAGAGCATCGTACAGGACTTTGAGAAATGTTCCCTGGAGTCAGGTGAATGGACCAGATTAACTTTCCAAATCCCTTCTGGCCCAAATCATCTGTTCATTTCCTGCCATATAAAATTCAATTGGAAGCTACAAATAAGCTGCGAATGTTTGTATACTCTGGGAAATGTTCTCTCAACAGACTCATGACTCTACTTATGTATTCATGTAGGGATTCCTTTATTCATCAAAATTACGTTAGAAATCTGCTACGGACCAGGCACTGTGACTAAGGCAGAGAGCTGCTCTCTTAGAAAGACAGTGCTCTTGAATCATAGAGATGAGAGAGAGAAGGGAAATCCAGGTAGAATAGAGGATTTTAGGATGAGAGAAAGCCTGTAGAGGCAGAAGGGTGCAAAAGAAGAGCCTCCAACAGATGGAGAGGTGAGAGTTGAATTTAATTATATACATATTTATTGAGAGATTCTTGTTAGAGGCTCTTTGCTAGGTGTCAGGAGCACAACAGTAAACAAGGCACTAGGCTTGTCTTTGAAGAGTTAACATCTCTGTTAAGACAAAAATGATCGGATTTTGCTTTAGAAAGACAATATTGGCTACCATGTGGAAGGGGCAAGACCGTGACTGGGATGTAGGTAGTGTAATTCAGGCAAAAATTATAAAAGCCTGACCTACAGCAATGGCAGTGGAGATGGGGAGAAGTAGATACACTGAGAAAATACTAAGGATACAGAATGGACAGAATGAGATAAACGATTGGATTCGGAGATCAAATGAGAGATAAAAATCGATTAAGATTTTTAGAAAATTAGATTTCAGTAGAAATTGGTGCCCATCCATGAGCAGAATGAACACAGGGAGGGGTAACCAGTGCACGGTATGAGATGGTGAACTCAAGGTGAAGCGGGATATTCAAGAGGAGATATCAGACAGGCAGCGGAAGAGTTGGAGATGCAAGTCGAAAGTTCAAAGAGGGAGCAGGCCAGAAAGAGAGACTTGGGAGTCATCAGTACAAAGATGGTAACTGAGGTCATGGAAGTAAAAGGTATGATCCAGGTAGAGTGTGTGGAGTGAGGATGGAAGAGCCTCCAGAAACGCAATCCTACTGACATGTAGATTTTACCCAGTAAGACCTATTTCAGACCTCTGACCTCCAGAACAGTAAGAGGACAATTTTGTGTTGTCTAAGGTACAGGTTTGTAGTAGTTTGTGACAACAGCAATAGGAAACTCATACAGGTAGTCACAGAGGTCCATAATCCAAGTTGGGACCAACATATGGTGAACCCCAAGCGTCCTCAACCTAGAAAAAACCAGGTATGGGTCAGCATATGCCTCCTCTCCTAAGGGCTCCCAACTGTGTGGCTGGAGAAGATGAAAATGGCCTCCCAGTTTTTGTGGCCTTATGCTAAGCACTGCAACATACACGGTAATTGAGAGGGCAGAGCTCACATACTGTATGATTGCACTTACATAGAGTTCAAAAACAGGCAAAACAAAATTTACAAGCAGCTCATGCAGCTCAATATCAAAAAACCAAACAATCCAATCTAAAAATGGGCAGAAGACCTAAGTAAACATTTCTCCAAAGAAGATATACAGATTGCCAACAAACACATGAAAGGATGCTCAACATCACTAATTATTAGAGAAACGCAAATCAAAACTACAATGAGATATCACCTCACACCAGTCAGAATGGCTATCATCAAAAAATCTACAAACAATAAATGCTGGAGAGAGTGTGGAGAAAAGGGAACCCTGTTGCACTGTTGGTGGGAATGTAAATTGATACAGCCACTATGGAGAACAGTATGGAGGTTCCCTAAAAAACTAAAAATAGAACCATCATACGACCCAGCAATCCCACTGCTGGGCATATACCCTGAGAAAACCATAATTCAAAAAGAGTCGTGTACCAAAATGTTCATTGCAGCACTATTTATAATAGCCAGGACATGGAAGTGTCCATCGACAGATGAATGGATAAAGAAGATGTGGCACATATATACAATGGAATGTTACTCAGCCATAAAGAGAAACGAAACTGAGTTATTTGTAGTGAGGTGGATGGACCTAGAGACCGTCATACAGAGTGAAGTAAGTCAGAAAGTGAAAAACAAATACCATATGCTAACACATATATATGGAATCTAAAGAAAAAAAATGGTTCTGAAGAACCTAGGGGCAGGACAGGAATAAAGATGCAGACGTAAGAGAATGGACTTGAGGACACGGGGAGGGGGAAGCGTAAGCTGGGACGAAGTGAGAGAGTGGCATAGACATATATATACTAGCAAATGTAAAATAGATAGCTAGTGGGCAGCAGCCACATAGCACAGGGGGATCAACTCGGTGCTTTGACCACCTAGAGGGGTGGGATAGGGAGGGTGGGAGGGAGACGCAAGAGGGAGGGGATATGGGGATATATGTATATGTATAGCTGATTCACTTTGTTATACAGCAGAAACTAACACACTGTTGTAAAGCAATTATACTCCAATAAAGATGTTTAAAAAAAAAAACAGGCAAAAATGAATCCACAATGTCAGAAATCAGAGTGGAGGGTTATAATTGGGGTGGAGGAATAGTGTTTGGGAGTGAGCACGTGGGGGACTGCTGGGCGCTGGTTATGTTCTGTTTCTTGACCTGGGTTGTAGCTCTATTCATAATATGATCACACAGGGATTAACAAACTTTTTTTTTTTATCCAAGTATAGTTGATTTACAAGGTTGTGTTAATTTCTTCTGTGCTGCAAAGTGATTCAGCTATACATATACATGCATTCTTTTTCATATTCTTTTCCAAAATGTTTTATCACATCTTTTGTAAAGGGCCGGATAGGAACTATTTCAGGCTTTGTGGAGCATACATCTCTGTCTCAACTACTCAACTCTGCCATTGCAACACAAAAGCAGCCACCGACAGTTCATAAATGATGGGTAGTGCTGCATTCCAACAAAACCTTGTTCACCTAAACACGTGGCAGTCTGGAATGGGCCCACAGGCCATAGTTTGCCAACCCCTGCGATAACGTATTGAGCTGTATGTTTAAGATTTGTGCACTTTTCGCATGTATTTCACTGTTCAATATTTTTTAAGTTTAAAATCTAATAATCAAACTATAAAGAGGGCAGTATTCTGGATTCAGATTACCTGGATTCGATTCCTGACGCTGCTACTCAATTGCTGTGTGACGTTGGGCTGCTTGACCTCTCTGTGCCTCCGTTTCTGCATCTATAACCTGGGGACGGTAAAACCACTCACTTCATAGAATTATTGGGACATCGAAATGAGATAAAACATGTACAATTTTTAAAGCAGTACGTGGTTTATAGACAGCCTTTAATCAATATTTGTTATTATTCTTATTACTGATGTTCTCAGAAATCGTATAAATGCTGGCCTTCTTAGCCCTGGGTTACAGATGAGCGACCAAAGCAGCCAACCTCTTGCCACAATCTTTCAGTGACCCCCAAACTCTTCAGATTTTTTAAACTAATATATGAGGCTTTCTCAGGCCTCCAAGTCTTATTTCCATACCATGTTCTTATGCCCCTGAACTTTGGGCAATGCTGTTCTACCTGTCTGGAATAGCCTTCATCTTAGTTACTTGGTAATCCCTTCTTGTGCTCTTCAAATCCCGTTTAAATGCCATCTCCTCTGTGAAGCTTCTGAGTCTTAGGTACCGGGGATTATCCCTTATTGTGCTCTTCAAATCCCGTTTAAATGCCATCTCCTCTGTGAAGCTCTGAGTCTTAGGTACCGGGGATTAGTAACCTCAGAACTTGAACGTATGCAACAGTTACCATTGTTCTCATTCTTATTTGTCTGTTTGTCAAGAGCCGAGCACATTCTAGGCACCTGATACATGTCTGCTGGATGGACTGCATACCCGTGTTCCCCTGCAACTGTGAGCACTTATGTACCCTTCAGTCCCCAGCCGCTAGCACAATGCCTGGCACACAACTCGTGTTCAGTAAATACTGATCAGATGGATGAATAAATTGGCTGTTGGAGCCAGCCCCAAGGCCTGGGCATCCCACAGACAAGTAGAGCCCAGATGACGAGAAGCAGGGTCTCAATCTCACTGAGCCCCATAGAGAATTTCAGCCGTCACACATTTCAGTTATCAAGGGATAATATTATAAAAGTTATAATTCTCTGGATGTTTCCATAATTATTGTTCACATTTTCCAGTCATAACAACAAATAAAATACATGCCCACAATTTCCCAGAGAGTCAGGGAGAGAGAAATACCAAATTGAGGCAATTATACTCCACATCTGCCATCCACAATTGTCTACAACTCCTGTAGAATCCAAGAACGTTACATTAATGTTAGAAGGGGCCTCAGAGAACAACTAGTCCACCCCCATCATTTTACAGATACGGGAAAAAATAACTTGTAAAGTGTTCTTTATTCCAGGTCATTTTGCTATGGTGCTCCCTACTGCCCCCCAGACTTGATAAGACATGAAACTATTTACAAATATTTTATTTCACTTCAAAGAAAAAAAGAACCTGGGATAAAATTTCACCATTTGTCAGTAATGACAGTTCATGATATGGAAATCATTTTACACAGAAATGTCTATCAGAGTCATGATAAGCACAATGCCCACATTTGAAGGAGAACACGGTGTTGTAGGAATAAAATAATAAATTGCTTTGTTATATCACAGATAATTGGCAGAGGGGGAAAAATGTGTTATCAAGAGTATTCATCACTCTTAGGGGACTTTCCAGAGGCATCTAGAGCTGCCTCCTGTTCTGACCAACTCCTACAACCCTGGAAACTGGTTTCCCATATTCTGAGTCACTCACCACTGCTGGGAAGAAGAAATGAAAAGCCAAATGAGGACTGCCAGACCCAGTCTTAGAATCCGCTCTGGAAAACAAGAGGCAAAACCTGATTAGAAATAAGGTTCTTCGTTGTCTGGTCTTATCTTGCTTCTTTCATGCCATCTCCCTCTAGTGCCCTGTGCAAACCCTGTATCCTAATGAAACCAAATGTCTCCTTTAACCTGATTTGATGGCCCTCACATGTTTCACGTTGACTGGATCTCCTTTACTCAACCACTGGTCTGGTCTGTCACAGTTCTGAAGAACTTGGTTCAGAGTTACTTCTCCCACACGTTCCTCTGAACAGTTGCTGCTCTACAGCCCCCAGAGAGTGCCTACCTTAGAGGTCTCACACCTGTCCTGTGTATCCACCGTTACTTATCTATCCCCCCAGCAGACCAGAAGCTACTGAAGACAGGCTGCGACCTCCACCTCGGTATCTAGCACAGTGTCAGGGAACACAAATTTGCCCATTGAATGGATGAAGAAGTAAAGCTTTGGGGAGAAACCACATTCAAACAGGTTAGGAGTGGGAGATGATATTGCAAAGTTTGCCCAATAATTTTTGAGAACACAGTCAGCTAGACTTCATTATAAATGGACTTCGCAAAGCTTTGGTTTTTAACATCTTTATTGGAGCATAATTGCTTTACAATGCTGTGTTAGTTTCTGCTGTATAATCAGAGACTTTCATATGCATATATGCTTAGTAAATATCCAAGGGTGTGATATTTACTAAGTACTTAGTAAAAATGTACTTCCCAACATACTCGTCCATGGAACACTGTGTGTGTGTATGTGTGTAGTGCTTCTGTTAACATCTCCCAGAAATGATGCTCAGAAGTCAAATCTTTAGGGCATCCCCAACTGGACCATTTCCTTAAGGGTGAAACCATTATCAGAAAGTGTGTTGTCTATCAGTGTCTTTGTTATAAATCCCATGTGCAAGGCTATAACCACTATAGCCAGTTGAGTTGAGTTAAACTCAGGAGTACTTCAAGTCAACTTTGAGGCTGAAACTCTCACAAAGAAGTTTTTCCTCTGAAGTTCTGAAAAATCCACCTGGACTTTTGACCCAGCAACACCTTGCACATTTTCCATGGAAAAACAAAAGAAATAGCTGTACAAAGTTTCCTAGCTTCTTCTCTTCTCATCTTTAGATAAGAAAAGGGCACCAGAAATAACTTCTCACCGTTACATTAACATAACATACTTCTGGGGTCTCTATATGCAGTGTGGTGAAAATAATAAACCAAAAAACACCTTTTGAAGCCCTGCTAATTTCCCCACAAATGATATTTTTGTGGGCATAAACTTCCTGCCAATTATTTATGCATGTTTTGAATCCCCCAGGTATTTTATACATGAATAAGGTAGAAAGGCAATATGATTCCAAAATCCATTCAAAAACCATTTACTGACCAATGACTCTATGAGTGCTGAAGGTACAAGTGTCCAGTTCTTGGAGATGAGAAAATATGATCTACTATCAAGAAGGTTGCTGTACCTTTACAAAGATTAATCATAATTTTCAAAAACTAGCTATGACAGGAATGTTATCTGGTTTACCAGGACACTCTTAGCATAAAAGCACATGGTAGATGCCCAATACATATTGAGGAAATAAGTACATAAATGAATGAATATATAGACAGCATTGGAACAAATGTCTTGACACATCAAGATCGGCCTACACAAGGCCTGGGATTTGAGAGGGACCTTGCAAATGAGCGCCCTCAAATGGACATATTCTAGATGTATGGGCAAGATGGGTGGGAATGTTCCTAAGTAAGTAGGGTAGCAGGAGAAAAGGGGTGTTCCAAGGGCAATGACTAGATCTGTTTGACCTGAATGGGGCGTTTGGGTTGGGACACAGCACTCACACTGGAAAGTTACATGGGGTTACATCTTAGAAAGACTCTAAACACCACATTATGGATCTAGAATTTTATCCTAAAGGTGAAAGGAAACCACAGAGAGAAGCTTTGACCTGAAGAGTGATATAGATAAAGGCTATTTTTAGGAAGGAAGATGTCTCATCATGAATCACAAAGGGGGAAACATTCATTGGTTAGGTATTGAATGAAAAGACCCTTTTCAAATCAGAAGTCCTAGGGAACAGAGGTACAAACCACTGCTTCAGCATTCCCTTCATGCAAGGAGCTGAGGAGACAACGCCAGAGAGCCCCAACTATGACATCAGACAGAGCAAGTGTCTGCTGCTGGACAGCCATGAGATTTGGGGCAAGTTACTTAACCTTGCCAAACCTCAATTTCCTCCATTGCAAAACAGGGATAAGAACAGTATTGACTTCATAAGGTTGATGGTAAGGATTAAATTAGATGATGAACGTCAACTGTTTACAAAGTACCTGACCTAAGTAGATGGTCAAAACATAGTATCCATTAACATTAGACTTGAGATTGCAATTAACATTTCATCCCCTCAACAGGTCCTTGCTAAGAACATCATCAACCAATGAGCAAGCTTTACAGATGTTAATTCTTCAGTCTTCTTGTGAGATTTTTGGAACACGTTTTGAGGGGCTGTTGTAAATCGGTTAATATTTTTGTTCCTATCATTAATATTTTTGTCACATTTGAGTACCCATCATTGTGTAGTATAGTGATGTAATTTTTTGTGACATCACAGGCCTGTTTGTGGCCAGGCTGCTTCTTGCTATCCTAACTCCATTTCCATTTTCTGGTGACAAAGTTAGAAAACAGCAATGTCAACTCATTCTCCATGTCCATCTGTAGGGGTTGTCTAAGGTCACACAGCTACCAGCCAACGAGGGAGCAGGAACCTGGAATGCAGGTTTGTCTTCTTTTCAGGATGGTCCACTCACACCCATGAAATGGCTTTTTCCATCCCCACTAAAGTGTGCCAACTAAGCAGTGATACTAAGGTAAGAGCAAGTACTGAAGCATCCACTTGAAGAGACACAGGATGCAAAGATGTTAACTGGCATGTGACAAATCTATAGCATTCACTTTCCAAATGAGTCAGATATACATTCTAATGGCTTCATTCAATTTTTGCATTAAAAATAGGAAATCTTATACAGCAACCCACATGCAAATATTTGAAGTGGTGTTTTTACCTCACAACATTTTCCCTGCACTTTCTAATCAACCAACCAGAATCAATGTGGAAAGAGTATAGAAAACTTTTACATTTTGGTATCAGAAATTTCCAAGCTGTCTACCACATCATCAGAGGGTCTCATCCTGACATTGGTACTCCCCTGGCTCATACACAAGGCTCTGATTTTACAGGACAGCTCCATGTTGCAGGGCACATGCCTAAATATAGATCACAGGCTCATACCTCTTAATCCCTATTAGCAGAAGTCATCAAGCACCAACCAAAAATAACCCTCAATGAGTTGGTCTTGGTTTGGGGTCAGAAGGTATGTCTGGTCAGAAGGTATGACTTTGAAACTTCCCATAAAATTTAGGAATTATTATCCATTTTATGAATGCTCCAGTAGCCTGTCCTTAGCACTAGGTACTACAGCTAGCTCAAAGTGTATCCTGTACCGCAAAACTCAGCTTAAAATCCTCTCGGTAAGAGATTCCAAAACTGGCCTCTATGTTCTCAAATTGCTCTGCAAATGCCCTTCCTATTCCATTATTTTTCATAATGCAGTGTGTATTGATATGTTACCATATCACTTTCACAGCAAGCTGTGGTCCCCTTAGAGGTAGGAATTGTCAAATTATGTTTTCTGGAGGATGAGAGGCATCCAGCTTTGGGGAAGTTCCCACTCCTTGGATGCTGGAGCAGACCAGGTGGTTACCCACAGCAGACTCTATACATAGGCTAAGCGGGTAAATGCAAATCAGAACCAAGGAGGGTCACCACAGCAAGACCAAGGCAAGAGGGGCACGATCAGTGTTAGTTCCAAAGAAAGAGTACAAATCCAGAGGCAAAAGGTGAGGATAGATGTCCTTGACCAGGGTGATGAAGAACTGGCAAGAAAGTGAAGTATGACGTGGAATGTGGTAAAAAGGTTTAGGACAGAGGGAAAGTGGAGTATCAGAATGGGAGGGGGTCATTTCCAGGGATCTTCGGCTCTCTGGTGATGGCTTAGAGATAAAGGAGAAAGTTGGCCAATGTAAAGGAGAAGGGTTAGACTAGAGATTGCTCCTTTCTGCATCTCCTGTATCTGGCACACTCCCTGGAACAAATCACATATTTGATAAGTGTTTACTGAATCAATGTATCAATCAATCATTCAAAGAGTCTTCTAAGGGTTGACCTACATATTCCAACAATAATCTCTGCCTCACTTATACAATAATTTGACCACCTTCCTAATAGCTGTTCTCATGCCTTGCTTTTATGTATCTGTGGGTCTCCCGCAATTAGATGACCATCCCAAAAAAGCAGCCAGGAGTCTTAGTAGAAAGAAGAATGCCAAACCTTGCACAGAGTAAGTGTTCTATAAAAGTCTGTGGAGTTGCACTGAACAATCATGAATTTGAATGAATTGCTTTTCAGGACAAATTAGTTTAGTGGTTTAAAAGAAGAGTTTATTTTAGATCAAGGGTAAAAATAGAAACAGGAAAAAAAAAGAATAAGCACATAAAATGATTTTAACATCACTAGTCATCAGAGAAGTAGAAATCAAAACCACAATGAGATATCACTTCACATCCACTAGCATGGGTATTATAAAAAACAAAAACGAGGGCAAAAAAGCCCAGAAAATAATAACTATTGGAGAGGATGTAAAGAAATTAGAACGTTGTGCATTGCTGATAGAAATGCAAAATGGTGCAGCTGCTGTGGAAGATGGTACGGTGATTCCTCAAAAAATTAAAAATAAAATTACCATAGAATCCAGCAATTCCATCCTGGGTATACACCCAAAAGAAGTAAAAACAAGGACTTGGACAGATATTTGTGCACCCACGTTCAACAGCATTATTTATGATAACCAAAAGGTGAAAGCAAGCCAAGTGTCCTTCAACAGATAAATGGATAAACAAAATGTGACATACACATACCATGGCATATTATTCAGCCTTAAAAAGGAAGGAAATTCTAACGCATGCTACAACACTAGGAACACTAGGAACATTATGCTAAATGAAACAAGTCAGTCACTAAACGACAGATACTATATGAATCCATTTATCTGGGGTACCTGAAGTATTCAAATTCATAGAGACAGAAAGCAGAATCATCATCGGGGCTGGGGGTAGAGAGGAATAGGGAGTTATTGTTCAGTGGTACAGAGTTTCAGTTTAGGAAGATGAAAAAACAGTTCTGGAGATGGTTGTACAACCGTGTAAATATATTTAATGCCATTGAACTGTACGCTTAAAAATCATTAAAATGGTAAGTTATATGTTATGTATCTTTTGCCACAATTAAAAAATATATATCTTATTAGCAGAATTTTTAAAAATTGGGTAAATCACTCTAACTTATTAGAGGTTTACCATTTTATATAGCTCCCTTTTCTCTCAGTTTTAGAAGAAAATAACTAATGACCACCAAAATGCATACAATCACATACAGACCAGCACCTCAACCACAACCGTATTCACATACACAGACACTCACACACATATACATTATCTTATAGTAAGGTTTTTTATAAGCCAGATTGCCGATTCTAATAATAGAAGCCAGGATATCTTACCTCTTGGTTAATTATCTTCCAAATGAGCACACAGGCTTGATTCACTCTTCATTGCAAAGGACTCCTTCTCACAGGATCTCCCACATCCTTTGTGTATCAAGACTCAAAAAGCAGAAATAAGCCTAAGAGTAAGGTAGAAAAGGACAGAGAGCATTAAGTCTCTTCCTAGTCTCGCAGAGAAAACAGGTGTTTCTCTTCCCCTCCTACAAGAGATTCCTCTACAGTAAAACTCACTCAGAGGCAGAAAGAAGCTAGAGAAAAGTCGTATAGGCCACCTGCCCACCCAAGACGTCGATGGATGTCACACGTATGACCACATTACTAAGGCAATGAGACATCTGGCTCTGGTGCCAACCAATCCTAGATACTGGATTCAGATCTATCCAAGAACTCAGAGGAGGTCTGTGCTTCTGATCATGGGTTTAATGAACAAATAAACCAGTGCACAGAAGCGGAGGGTGGAAAGAAGGGTCTCTCAATCTCTGTTCACTTCAGAGGTTTTCCTCTCCTCCTGACCAACATTGTCACCCATCCTGAGAAATCCAATTCGAGTTCCACCTTGTTCGTAAACCCTTCTCCCAATTAATCAAGTTCTCAGGGATTTCTTCCCTCTCAATTCCTAAATAATGGATCTGAGATGCCCTTGAGAGTGAGACTTTATGTAATGGAGTCTCTTTAGAGCTTTTATTGAGTTCTTGCTCTGGTGTTTGACCCTCAGTTAGGCTGTGATTCCCTAACTAAAGCTCACTGCCCTGACTTTTCTTTCACTTCCACTTGACATCAACTACAACATAACATATTCTTGGGAATTGGTTAAGTGATTGAAATACTTCAACAACAGCTTTATTGGGTAGAAATACAGTCTTTGCAATACCATCCACTTTTAGCAGATCTTGGTACATAGCAAATGCTCGATAAATGTCTGTGAACTGACCACCTTGGGACAGCAAGGAGTACTTCCTCTGAAAATCATTTTTTGTGTCCATTAAGTAATTAGAAGGCAAAAGAAGGATGCTCCTGAGCTAGCGCTCTGAGTGGAGGAGAAGACAGATGGAATCCTCCAAGGATCAGAACTGTAGGGGAATTTGTGCAATTAACTAGCATAATCTCCTTTTCCAGAGAAGGAATCTAAGTCCAGAGAAGGAGAATGGTTTGTTCAAGGTCACGGTGTGAGTTAGGGGCAGCTCCAAGACTGAAGCCGAAGTCTCAGCCACGGGGTAGGTGCAGAATCTTGTCGAAGGGTTTGTAACAGTCCTTTGGAAAACTACTTTCTTTGATATCAGAGAGAAGTTCTCACTGAGCTATTGCACTGGAGGCATTGTAGATTCACAGGGATGCTTAGAATCTCCCCACCTTTTACAAAGTTTTCCTCCAATATCATTGTAATTCCAGGAGAAAAAAATAAATAATGACGTTCTAAAGTCACAGAAAGTAGAAAGTTGTGGGAAGGAATTTAGAGTGAGGATGGTGATCCCTCCAAACTTAGATATTTGATGCATTTTGTTATACTTTAAGATAAATAAACCATCAACCCAGGGATTTTCAGAGAAGTAGAGGTCAACCACCCTCCTCTACTATGGTGTGGTTTATTTCTCTCCTTTGTAAATTATTAAACATATATGTCTCATTCAAGTAACTTTTATTCAGCACCTACAAGGTGCCAGGTGCTGTGTTAGGTCAGAGAATCCAGAGATCAATTAGGCAAGGTCTCAGTCCTTGAGGAGTGCCAGAGACAAGCAAATAAACAAATAATTGAAAAACTGTACGAGGCACCATGACGGGTGTATTTAAGGTGCTTCAAACATATCCAGGCATAGAAGAGATACTCAATAAACAATTGTTGAATGAATGAATGAACTAATGAAATAACTAATTAATTAGAATTTGCCCAAGGAATTTAGGGAAGCTATTTGCATTTATTTAGGGAAGATTTGCATTTAAACTGGGTCTCCAAATAAATTTTTTTTAATTTTTTTTAAAATTAAAAAAATAAACTGGGTCTCCATTCATTCATTCATTCAAGTGCTCATTCTTTTATCCATGTATTGAGCACCATGATGGATTACTAGACGCTTCAAAAATCTGAAATGAATAAAGCAAGGCTCTTGCTCTCAGTAATTACAGAACAATATAACAACCAACATTTCATTAAACATGTTTTATTCTGATCTCTGCATGTTCCATTAGAATGTAAGTTCCATGAAGGCAGGGTCATTCTCTGGCTTTCTCTCTGCCATGTTTGAAACCCTTACAACAGTGCCTGGCACCAGGTCAGTACTCCACAACTAGTGCCAGAGTAAATGAATGAGTGATTGAATGAACAGATGGGTAATACATTGACGATATTGTGCGAGCGTGGAGGAGTGGCATCTCATTAGCAACATTTCCAGAGCAGACGGAGGAAGAATTCAAGGAGGAAGCAGAGAAGGATCTGGTAGGAGGAAAACCAGAAGGGTGCGCTGTCATAAAAGCCAACAGAGGACAGAACTTCCAAAAGGAAAAATGATTGACTTGCCTTCATCCAAGAATCTTTTTTTTTTTTTTTGCGGTACGCAGGCCTGTCACTGTTGTGGCCTCTCCCGTTGCAGAGCACAGGCTCCGGACGCGCAGGCTCAGCGGCCATGGCTCACGGGCCCAGCCGCTCCGGGGCATGTGGGATCCTCCCGGACCAGGGCACGAACCCGCGTCCCCTGCATCGGCAGGCGGACTCTCAACCACTGAGCCACCAGGGAAGCCCAAGAATCATTTCTGATCAACCACTTTGGGCCCCAGGGTGGGGGCTAGGATGAGACAAGCTAGGAGCCTTGGGTGTAAACTTTAAAGGGACGCTCACTCTCGGAATCCTTCAAGTTCAGTGTCAGCACCTGAAAGCCACACTGTCTTAATTGTGTGTCCTCAGTGTCCCACTTGCCTCACCCTACTCCCAGCCCTGTTGGGCCCAGCACTGTGCCAGGGGGATAATAGTCGTTAAGACACAATCCTTGCTTTCAAGAAACTCAAGCTCTAATGGGCAGACAGACCTAAGGCCATCGATTGTAATGCAGAAGATGAGTTTGGGCAGGAAGAAGCAGGAGAAGCAGGGGAATCAGACAGGGAGCACCTCAGGCAGACCATGGGCTCAGAAAACACAATGGTGCTTGAGCTGAGACGAAGAGACAATCAAAAACTCACAGCGAGAGAGGAAGGAACAGCTTTCCGGGCAAGGGAACAGCATCTACAAAAACTAGGGGGCTTGAAAGTACATAAAGTGACTTGAAATGGTGACATGGGGTAGCGGGAAGCAAAAAACCGTTGGTAGTAAGTGAGGTTAGGGATGTAGATTCCCATTATTCATTCTTTCAGGCTGGAACTCCATCTTTATTTTTACAGTTATATTAGTATCTGGGGCAGTTTTCCTTGGAAATGAGGTGCTACCTAAGGTAATTGGGAGGCCCATCAATCTGTTCGTCCTGCCTGGTCCTGGCCTCCGAGAGAACAGGGGGGAGGCCCCATCTGAGTCTTTGCTGCTCAGTCAGATGTATTTTTAGCCCCAGCAGAAAATAACGGCAGTGTGCATTTAATAAAAATATCAAGCCCTGGGAATGATCTAGTGCCAGTGTTGGAGCAACCAGGGACAGAATATGTTTCCAATTGAATGACTACTGTGGTCATAGTTATAAAAAGAGAGAGGGAGGAGGAAAATGTTAGGCTGGTCAGTTTCTCGGGAGCATTTAATCTTGGTTCACTCTAATTTTAATGTTCAAAGACACATGCACCAACTCTGCCCTTAGGAGTTATTTCAGGGGGACTGGCCAATGCCCACAACTTGCAGTCAACACTGGGTAGCCCTGCTCCCTGAAGCGTTCTTTTTTCTCTTCCTTTCTTTCCTCCCTCCCTCCCTCCCTCCTCCCAGTTTCGGCCTCCACGAGTTCTTCTGCTCACAAGCTGATGAGACAGAGTGAACAGTTACCATGAGGGTAAATTTAGACTGACGAAACCCAGGGATTTGAGCTCAGAAGCTGGGCTCAGGGAGGAGTGGAGCCAGTGCAGCATCAAGAAAGAGCCTAAGGGCTTCCCTGGTGGCGCAGTGGTTGAGAGTCCACCTGCCGATGCAGGGGACACGGGTTTGTGCCCCGGTCCAGGAGGATCCCACATGCCGTGGAACGGCTGGGCCCGTGAGCCATGGCCGCTGAGCCTGCGCGTCCGGAGCCTGTGCTCCGCAGCAGGAGAGGCCACAGCAGTGAGAGGCCCGCGTACTGCTAAAAAAACAAAAAAGAAAGAGCCTAAGAGGTACAAACTACCGGTTGTCACATAAATAAGTCACAGGGATGTAATAATGTACAGCACAGGGAATATGGTCAATAATATTATAATAACTTGGTATGGTGTGTAATCTATAAAGGTATGGAATCACTGTGTTGTATACCTGAAACTAATATACTATTGTAAGAGAACTATACTTCGATTTAAAATAATAATAATTTTTAAAAAGGGACACAGAGCCGATGTGCTCCCCCATGGCTTCCAGGAAAAAAAAGTCTCCATTTTCTAGGTTGTTATAAACTACTCCTTCCAATCTGATCACAATTTACCTCCACAGCACGGTCTCCGTCTCTTGGTCCCCTCACACCCTTCATCACATTCTTGAGCGAAAAAAATCATAATGATTAGATGCTTCTTATTGAGGGTCTCCTTTGTGCCTGGCTCTGGTTGAGCAATTACAGAAGTGATGTCACCTCATCCTGAAACTGACATTAAAAAGCAGAAACCATTAGCTATGTGTTACTGGTGAGGAGGCTGAAGCTTGGACAGGGTAAGTCACTAGCTAATAACTGGCAGAACCTGGATTTTGGATTATTCTAGCGCCCGTCCACCCTCTGCCCATTTTCTGACCCCAATCTCCAATCTGAGCTAGCACTTTAGAATGTGCATCTACACACCCCTCATATCTTACCATGCTGCCGCTTTCCTTGAAATGCCTTCCCACCCATTTTCCTAGAAGTCTCCCCTAAATATCTTATTTTCTGTCCATATCTGTTGTAGCATGTATTACTATTAGTATTTGGTAATAATCACTATTATATATTCAATTTATATTGTATGCTGGGCATTGTTCTAAGTGCTTTGCGTGTACCAGCTGATTTAATTATCACAACATACTTGTATGATAACAGTACGATACCCATTCTACAGAATGGAAACTGATGCATAGAGAAATTAACTAGCTTGCAGAGCTGGTAAGTAGTAAAACTAGAAAAACAGTTATCATGAATTGAGTTATTACTATGTAACAGGCACTAGACTTAGCACTAAACAGGTATCTCTGCATGTGATCCTCACAGCAGTTGTACAATTAATAAAACCCCATTTTACAGATGAAAAGACTGAGGCTCAGAGAAAGTTTTAAGCAACTTAATCAAGGTCACAGAGCCAGGATGGAAACTCGGGTATGAGAACACGCCAAGCCCTTTGCTCTTACACACAGCACTTTGACTTGCTTCTGTCACTGTCTTCTCAATGAATCATCACTCCTCTTCACACAGGACCCTGGTACACACTGGGCACACAGTAAATGTTGGATGAGAGGATGAATAAATACAGGGCATCAGCAACCCGTTTCAAATATGATTTGTTTAAGTGCACTGGGAGGAAAAAGAGCAGAGTAGACATGCTTGTGAAGGACAGTCTTAGGACAGAGGACACTCCCAGTGTGTGCAGTTCCTGCCAGCTGGTCTGGGCTGTCATGTCAAATCAGACTCACATGAAGGAAGGCCCTTCCCTCGGACAGATTGGTTGCTGCATGAAGAGAGGCCCAGCCCTACCCCTCTAACCCCTCTTCACTCCCTGTCCCCTGCCCTCTCTAAGCTGGCCCTCCCTCACAAGGCCTTGACCCCAAGTCTAAGTTGTCTGCTGGCCACCTGACGATAAAGACTGGACCACTGTTTGTTCCTCGCAGCATCCCCTGGAATCCAGCTGTCCTTACTGGCATCCTTCACTGCATCCCCTTCCCTGCTGCTTTGTATTATGCCCAGGGTCAGGAAGCCATAAAGGCTTTCTGGAATAAAACATTAAAGGGCTTAAGATGAAATTTCACTAGGGACTCTTGAGAGCAGAGGGTAGAGTCCCCAGATAAGCCACTGCTTCTTCTTCACACCTGTTAGTACTTACCTTTCAACTGGACTTGTACAGAAGAGCCTCAGAGCCCAAGAGAGCTGGATTCCAAAACTGCCTCTGTCTCTGCTTAGTCATTAGATACTGAGCAAGTCATTAATCTCTCTAAGCTTCCATTTCCCCATCAGTAAACTGGATATAACATCCCAAAATTACAACCTGGTTGAACGATCAGAAGATATCATGGGGAAGAGGCAGGAGAACGCAAAGTTTATGAGGATGCTCTTTGCAGTAGATGTAGAATCTCAGATCCGCCTCAGGTGACCAGATATCCCAACTGGTCCAAGACTGAGAGATTGTGAGGGTGTGGAATTTTCAGGGTGAAATCTGGGGAATTCCCAGACGAACCAGCAGACGTTGGTTATTCTAGTCAACTACCACACAGGAAAATGGGACTAATAAGTGCTCCTTCCTTACAGGGTGGCCACAGGACTCTGTGAAAATGTATGTAAAGTGCGTGTTTGATCTCCTTCTCTTCAGCATCGCTCTCCTCTGGGTCTGCCCATTGGTCACTGCTATTTTCTAAAACATGGTAGA